TTGAGGTTTGTTTTGTGTCCTAGGATATGATCAATTTTGGAGAATGTTCCATGGGGCAATGAGAAGAATGTATATTCTTTATCTTTGGGATGGAGTGTTCTATATACGTCTATAAAGCACAGTTGTTCTAGGGTCTCACTTAAGTCCCTTATATCTTTGTTTAATTTCTGTTTAGAGGTCTGTCCAGATGTTTAAGAGAAGGGATAAGGTCCCCTGTTATTATGGTATTATAGGATATCATATTGCTCAGACTGAGTAAGGTCTGTTTCAAAAATATAGGAGCATTTAAGTTGGGTGCATAAATATTTAGAATTGAAATGTCTTCTTGTTGTATTTTTCCCTTGACCAATATAAAGTGACCATCTTTGTCTTTTTTGACTTTAGTTGCTCTAAAACCACATAAGATTGCAACCCCTCTTTTCTTCTGAGTTCTGTTTGCCTGAAAAACTGTCTTCCAACCCTTAACCTGGAGTTTTAATTTGTCTTTTGAAGCTAGATGTGCTTCCTGCAGACAGCAAATGGATGGCTTGTTTTTTTAAATCCAATCAGCCAATCTATTCCTCTTCAGTGAAGAATTTAAGCCATTAACATTTATTGAGATAATTGATAAGTGTGGTAGTGTTCTATTCATCTTATTTTGTGAGAGTCCATTGCTTAGTTTTTATCTTTTGAATCATTGTGAAAGTTAGGTTCTGTCCTTTAATTTCTGAGTTCTTACTTTGCTGTTGATCCATTGTGATGGTCAGTGTGTAGAACAGGTTGAAGTATTTCCAGTAGAGCTGGTCTTGTGGCAAATTTCCTCAATTTTGTATATCAGTAAATGATTTGATTTGTCAATTTTAAAGCTTAGCTTAGCAAGATACAGAATTCTGGGCTGGAAATTGTTCTGTTTAAGTAAATTAAAGGTAGATGACCATTGTCGTCTTGCTTGAAAAGTTTTATTAGAGAAGTCTGCAGTTACCCTGATGGATTTGCCCCTGTAGGTCAACTGGTGCTTATTCCTGGCAGCTTGTAAAATCTTTTCTTTTGTCTCGACTTGGACAGATTCATCAAATGTGTCTTGGAGAAGCTCTGTTAGAGTTGATGTGACCTGGAGTCCGATATCCCTCTGAAAGTAGTAAATCAGAATCTTTGGTGATATTTGGGAAATTTTCATTTATAATATTCTCTAGTATGACTTCCATTCCTTTGGAGCATTTTTTTTTCCCTTCTGGGATACCTATAACTTGTATGTTTGAACACTTCATAAAGCCCCATAATTCTGTCAGTGAACATTCTGCTTTCT